AGTTTAGTTTAGTTTAGTTTAGTTTAGTTTAGTTTAGTTTAGTTTAGTTTAGTTTAGTTTATCTCCCGAAAAAATCCAATCGAGATGATGTTGTTCACGTGGGAGTCTTAATTTTCATGCTTCTTTTTTAGGTAAACCTTTAATATATATATACTCAATAATAGATATATAAAAAGCTTTATGAGTATGATGAATTAATGCTCTTGATATATAATTATTCATTCTATTTAAATATGAAGAAGAATAATATTTACTTTATCGACTAGGTAAGTCAACCGCGGAGCCAAAAGACTGACGTCCTGATTCTTTATTTACCCACCGGTAAATACCCTTTTTCCCTTTATACTCAGATAAAATTTTTGGTTTATCAGTTTCAGCGTTATCATAAATCATTATAGGAACTATAAAAGAGTAAAGGAAATCAGAGAATGTAGGTCATAAAGAAATAAAGACATCACTATTATACCCTTAAAACCTAATTTTAAGACATTTTCAAAGCCAATAAAAAGAATTTATTGTGAGTTTTAAAATAAAAAGAAAGCAGCATGGTTAGGGAATATAATAAAAGTATTACCATAATACTGATAAGAGTTAAGTTAAAGGCATTAACAAGGCCATTTAAGTAAACACCAATAATGAAAGAAACAATAATTAATGGGAGAATTACAAAGAACTCTCTCTGGCTCTTAAGACGTCCACCATTGTGCTAATATTATTAGTAAAAAATGAAAAAAGCAATGGGAATCATAATTTTTTTTTTTGTATAAAATTCTTTATTTATTAAATCTTAAGATTAAGTTTAAAAGGATCATTTAAAAGAAAAATAATTTTTGCTGAAGATCTATTATTGAATAATTTATCTATAGACTTTAATAATTTATCTATAGACTTTAATAATAATAACGATAGACTTGAACAATTTAGATTTAATTACTTTAATTTAAAAAATCCTTTTAATATAGAATATATAATTAATAATAAATATAATAAATTGAACTGGTAAATAAATTGGACCGGTAATTCAACTGTGAAGGAGTTCTGTCTTCCTATTTAACCATAAAGCCTTGTCTTTTATATTGTTTGAGTAAACTACGCAGTGGGCCGAGGGGGGGGGGTGTTTAGAAATAGATTTATCCCTAAACTAATTATAAATGTTAATAGTATATTACCCCCTACTATTAAAGTTAGTTCCTTATCTCTTAGTAAAAGATAAAAACCATTTCTCTTTATATAATTTATTATTTGAGCTATACCTTAATATTGTTTTGTTATCAGAATTAAAAAATTTCCCAGCTTGAGTAGCAGAAGAAAAATTATTTACAAGTGAACCTTCTATTGAATACACAAAAATAGCAATACCTCGAGTAGCACTCATTTTTGCTTTAGTCTCTTTAGAAAAAGATTCACCAAAATTTGGATTTTTTCACCAATCTTAGCATCACTCATCTTAGCTTAAGTTAACTCAGAATGGTTTTCCCCTTTAAGAGCAAAACTAATTTTTGCCTTAGTTTCAATAAGATAAGTTTTACCAGATTTGATTATACTAATTAAAGTTTTAGTCCCCTCTGAACGTCTTTGCCCTAAAGAACTCCCAGCTATTTTTTTTGAATATTTAGGTGCCAGACTATCTAAATGATGTTGTTCCCGTCCCAGAAACAATAAACGAGTTTCTTCCTTAGACAAATTCGGGATATTTATATATTCTATAATTGTTAGGCTAAAATCAGAATGTGTGTAATAGATTAAAGCATTGCATATGTAATTATTCGCTTTTTTTAACTTTGAAGGGGAATAATAATCTTTCAATCGTTTAGAAAGATCCACTGCACAACCGATATAGATTTTACCTGATCCCCTGTGAGTCCATTGATAGATCCCGGCTTTACCTTTATGCTCTTATAAAATTGCAGATTTTTTATTCCTGCATTAAGATAAACTTTTACGGCTGCTGAGAACCCCCCCCCCTCTGCCTTCGAGAAACCATTCTGAACCGAAAATAAAAGACGAAAATAGTTTTATATAAAGTTTTAACATTTGATAATTTTTATGGTTTATATCCCCTTTATTTTTTATCACTATTAAGTAAAATTAAAATTCTTAAACTTTATTTAGACAAAATGAAAAAGGTATATTTTTTACAGAAATATAATGCTTTTTTTTTATTATTTACATTTATTATTTTATTCTTTATACGGAGAAAGAAAAATTTAAATAAAACTTCCTAAAATATAAAAAAATTAGTTATTAGCTTAGAGTAATTATTAATCCCCCCCCCCCACATATATATAATAATTAGGGAGGGGGAAGAAGGTTAGATATTTAACTAAATGGGAACTTAAATCTATTATAAGAAAATATACTATATTATTTATACATTTAACTTATTTGAAAAATTAAAGGATTTTATAAGATACAAATACTGTATATTCCTTAATAAGTTACTACCTTAAATAAAGGTTATATAATAAACAAAGAAGACTCAAATTCCCATCACACCGTTAGGACAGAGAGCTTATACAAAGCTCTTGTCTTATTATATTATATAACCATTTGACCATGAAGCCTCATTTTAATTACTCGTAAAGAAGAAAATTCTGTTTATTTATTATTAGAAAACTGTTTTAGAGAGTTAAAATTTAATTTAAAGAAGTTTATACCCTTTTGTTTACTTCCCTATAAATAGGGTCTAGAGGACTTGAACGGACTACTATTGGTCTTATCAAAATTACACTTAACCTATTAAGCTATAATCCTCATTATACAATAAAAAAAAATTTTTTTTGCCCCTCCCGTAAACCTTTAATATTATTAAGGATCAGCTTACAGATAAACTCTCCCTTATATAAAATGATTTTTTTTAATCTCACCCCCCCCCATCCTGGTGTGATTTGGGCAAAGGTTATTTTAAAAAGGTGCGCAGCCGGGACTATTTTAAGAAGGCTATTAGATATAAAGTTTTAATAGTTCCGTAAGCTTGTAGGGGGAGGAAATAAATCCGACCAAGACCGGAAGAATATAAATAACAAGAATTGATTAAAAGATAGTTTAATATAATTCATGCCTTAATTGACATGAAATAATAAAAATATAAAAATGTTAGCAAGCGCAAAAATCATAGGTGCAGGATTAGCTACAATAGGATTAGCTGGAGCAGGTGTTGGGATCGGAACTGTATTCGCAGCGTTAGTAAACTCTACTGCTAGAAACCCTTCTATCAAAGCTCAATTATTCTCTTATACAATCCTTGGATTTGCTTTAACTGAAGCAATTGGATTATTCGCGTTAATGATGGCTTTCTTATTACTTTATGCATAATTGTGATAATAGCCGTAATTAACACCCCCTCTCTAGAGCTCTTCTTTTTTTATTAATTGGCTGTGTCCAGGATATTTATATAATAATGAGTATAATCATATTTATTAAATGGCAACTTTAAATAAGACTGTTTTCTTTAGGAACCTATTAGAGTTAATCTCTTTAAAAACATTTAACTTTTTTGAGTATTAACTCAAATCATATTATATTTTACTCAAATCCTCTTCATATTTGTTCAAATCCCTTCATATTTTGTTCAAATCCTCTTCATATTTTGTTCAAATTTTTTTTCTTTTTTGTTAAAATTTTTTGATTTTTTCTTTAAATCCCCTCATATTTAGCTAAGGGTTTAAACTTTAAATTACGATTATTTTATATTATAACTGGGATACTTACTATTTATAAAGATAATTCTTTATTTAAATTTGTTGTAAGAAATTTTGATGATCTTATAATCTAATTATTCCTCATTTTTAAAAATACCTTTTATTGTAAAAAAAAACAAGCTGATTTTTTTGGATATTAAAAGAAATCCCCTTATAAATGGTAAATAAAAACATTTAACACTTGAAAGATTCTTAAAAATAGTAGCGATAAAAGCTAGCATGAATTTAGGATTATCAGATAAACTTTTACCCACTTTTTCGGTAGAATCTTATAAAAGACCTGAAATATTGTAATTTATAAATACCAGACCCCCCCCCATAGGATTGCAGGATTTACTGATGGGAATTATACAGGATTTA